AAGGAGAAGGAAGAGCCTTCGGGGGAACAGCCAGTGGAGACTGTTGGCCAAGACAATAGAATATGAATTTATGGCCTATTTGCATGGCTTTCCGGACCCAATTCAAGAGGGGCTGTTGACCGGACAACGCAACAATCCGAGCGTTTTTACTTGATAGAGTCCAGACTTCCAGCAAAGCCCTATAAAAGTCCCAAGACTTGGGGCTTAATGAGCTTTGCCCACTTCCACAGCCTGGATATCCCACACTAATGCATCGGCTGCTCCAGCTCCCCGAAAATGTGTGCTTAAAAATTCAACATGATCCCCCTCTTTGCGACATGTGTGTGCACTCCCCACATTGGGCTTGCATAAAAAGTCGGAAGCGAAGACAAAGTCAAAACCAGCAGCATTGCGGCTCTGTCTCATTGGCAAAGCGTTTGCGGTATTAACTTGGTTATGGCTATGGCTATGGGTATTTTGGGGCCGGAGCATTTTATGCAGAAGCCTTTTCAAAGGGCCAGGATACAAATTGCATTGCTGAAGATCTGGCTCCAGCCTGCAGAGATTTCGAGAGCCAGCCCGAAATAGGCCAAGTCAATGGGCTGCCGAGGGCGCTTCACTGGCACATTGAATGCAGACGCACAATTTCTAATTGTCTAACTCAATTTGGGAGCGGCAAACTCTGCGTAAACAACCACCATCCCATCCATCCACCCCGCTCCATTCAAAGTTTAGTGTGAAATGGGTAAATTTGATTACGATTCTTAGTTGGGTTATGGTAATCGAGTTGGAAATACTTCAAAGTTTCGATAATAACGATGATGTCGCTCAGTGCCACGCAATTTGCCAGCCGCCCAGTGAAAGGCTTTCGTTTTGGGCCCGGAAAAGTCGTCATAATACGTGAATAGCTTGGCGTGGGAGCTCCGGGCTGGAGTTGTTGCTTTCGAGGCAACTAATAGCGCAAAAGTGCGCCATGAAATATGCATAAAATCACTTGCAAATGCGCTAAGCGAGCGACGTGGCTGAATCGTTTCGGTTTTTGTTGCTGCTTCTGCTTCTGATTTTGCTGCATTTCGGCAAACGAGCTGCCAAATCAAAAATCGTTGAGCGTGTGAAGTGTCAGTTGGTGGGAGCAGGAGCAGGAGCTGCAGCAGGGAAATGCACATTAGACAGCAGCCATGGCAGTCGACGTTTCGGGGAAATTGCCTGGAAGGAGTTGCTCCGAATGGAAATTCGCCCGCAATAAAAAATTCAGCCCCATAAATGCTGAATGCCGAAATGCCGAAATGCCTGTGCGCGCGCTCCGTTTAATTGGCCTGAAGCCTCAAATTATGCAATAGTTGCAGTCAAAATTGACCGCAAACAAACCAGCAATAATTTGCAATCATTTTTGTGTGGCATAATTTATGCAGAAATTCAATCTAAATTAAACATCAAACAAAGCCAACAGGCCACTCCCCTCCCTCCTGCCTCCTCCCGCTCCATTCTATTCTACCCTTCAACTTGCGTGTCTGGCGGGGCGTGCAACGTGCATTGCGACACATTCGCACCTGCAATTAGCTCAATGAACCTGCCACACAGCCCGGCGAACGTTCGCTGTCAGTCATTGCAGGCGGCAGCTGTCCGAAATGTAATATTTAACGCCATTTTATGCAAATTGAAATTATGTAAATGGGCGGCCCAACCAACAACCAACAATTGATGATGACGTCTGGCGGGCTGCGAAAAGTCCACTCCGGTGCACCGAATCGAATGCGGGATGTCCATCTGCATCGCTTAAAGCACTTTGCATGCTCGCCCCTTGACGTGCAACTCCATCTCGCTCAGCTTTGCTTCTGCGGCAGTCTTCGCCAATTGTGGCAAAGGACGGGGGATTGACAAGTCTGCACGGCTCATTTGCATTTTAATAATAATAATCACTATAATGCACAATAGCTGGGCCACAATGAGCACATGAATCGCACATGAATCGCACATTCATCGGGAGGCGATGCGATAAGCTGTCGGAGCTGCAGTTCATCAAGTTCTCGCATCCACAATGGCACGTTTCGCCTCCTTCGACGATTGCAGCATGTGCAGCACTTACATCTTCTTTTGCTCCTACCCCCTTACCGCCCAACCCACCAACCCCACAACAACCCCCGCTACTCCCTCGCCAACCCTACGAGCTCCTGTTTGTTGTCGTTAACGTTTTGTTTATATTTGCTTAAATGTGCGGCGCACACTCATAATTAGTATGCATGTGTGCATCTGGGGGATGCGTATTTGTGCATGTGTCTGTGCCCGCGAGTGCCTGCTGTGTGTGCGTGTGTGTGCGTGTTAGCTGCCATTGCAATTTGCTTTTGTTTGGTTTAAAAAGCGCGTTAAATTTGATCATTGTTGCCGGCGGCTTTGTTTGCGCTCTCATTTGCCGCTGAAAGTGTGAACGAGTTAAAGCCCCGCCCGGCGCGATGCCCCATTATCATGTGGGGCCCATAATCCCTCCCGCAGAATCCCCCTGATTTTCAATCACTTGCACTCACCCGACTGGACAGAGTCATAAAATTGCGTATACGTACCTAGAAAGAAAGAAAGAGAACAAGAAAGGGCTGTTAATTTGGTAGGCGGAAGTGAGATACTGTGGGGAAAAGGTCGGGACGCTTCCAGTGACAACGCCTAAGTGGGGCTTAAAAATTCAATAAAAAATCACTTAACATTCCATAAGAAGCTTTCAGTGTTTCACATGCCCGCACACACACACACACACACACATCCAAGTTTTGGGAGAAAGTCGAGAGAGAGTGGCCGCAAAAGTGCTGTCGAATTCTGCACACTGGAAAAACGGCAAGAAGTGCAGGAACTGAAGCAATTTCAAATTGAAAACTGCTGCAAATTAATCAAATGCCTTTGCAGCCCGAGAGGAAAACGGTCAACAGACAAGACTGGCAAACAAACTGGCAAACGAAAACGTCAGTCAGTCACAAAGACCGAGGCGAGCGATAAAAGCCAAAGCCAAAGGCAAGCGACCCTTTTACATTCCCAACCCTTCGGGCTCCACACACTGGGGTATACTATATATCTATATATATATATACTTGTATATCGCAACGCATTAAATCGATAACACGATTTTTCAGCACGCACACAATCCCGGCTCCCGTCGAACCCAGACTGAAATCCAAAACAACTGGCTGACTGTGAGTTAAATTGTCAGTTTCATTACGTGGCAGCTTTCCCCCTTTTCCATTCTGCTTCCTCCACCGGAATGTTCCTTGCTTTTTTAAAGCCAAATCACTACGTCTGCGCGTGAGTCCACCCCTTACCCTCTGCCCCCCGAATAACCCTCCTCTTGCATTGCGACAAGCGATTTTTCAAGTTGCCGCTTCATCGTTCTCCGGAGCTTCTGTTCTGGTGCTGTTGCTCCTCCGGTTTTTCCTTTTGCCGGGTTCTGCGGTTTCTGGGCGCCGAGCAAACTCAATTTTCGGCACAGGCGAAACGCATCGAAGCCCCTGGGACTCCTCGAGTCCGCCCGCCTGCGTTCTCGGGAACTCAAGGACCTCGGCGCTGGTGAGTTCAACAAACATTTAACTGATTGCCTGGGCGTGTGTTCGTGCCCGGCCCTGCCTGATTTTTTGATTTGCAATACACCTGGGAGCGGGACAGCCCTCGGCCACGAAAATGTTTAGCTTATTTGTTAGCGCTGGAAAATAAATTGTCTGTGCGTGCGGTAATTGTAAATTACGTACGGACAGGCCGGGCTCCTCAGTGGAGCAGCCGAGTTATTGACACCTCGCCGACACACGAGTGCGCCATGAATTTTTGATCACAACTATGAGCGGGCCCTCCATAAACTAGGCTCTTGATTGCAGGTCCCTGTTCAATCCTAAGCCATCCTATGCCATTCTGCCCTTGTCAATCCAATGCCGCCCCAACCAATTCAATCAGGGGGCGTGCGCTGCCCCAGAGTAATCCACTTTGGCCCCCGAAAGTGTGCAACAATCTCTTTTAAACTTCCTGCTGACACAAATCAGCCCACGGCCATAACTCAAACTATCTCCACCTCCACGCCGGCAGAATCAATAACCATAAACAGAAATTCCTTATGCTCACGTGGAGGAGCCGCATAAAAAGTATGCCACATGCTCGGGGAAATCACTAAATTCAGACCGAGCCGAGTGTGGGCGTTGGTAGCTCATCACTTATGTGTGGCGGGGGCAAGAAAAGGCAGTGCCCACGTTGATAACTGAGAGTGCTTATCACGCCCAACCCCCCAACTTCCCGAACTTGCCAAGCCCCCGATTCCTCCGTCGACTGCATGTGACATTTGCATGCTTACTTAAACAGCAAAAAGCAGCCGCTGCTGGAGGCACGTCTGCGCCAACTATGCCTCGCATTTCGGCCAGCCTCGGTCTCAGACTGAGCCAAAGCCAAAGCCAGAACCAGAGCCAAAACCTGAGCTCCAGCCTGGGTCTCGACCCAACAGCGACGGTGTTGTCAGTAGGCAGTCGCAATCCTGTCGACGTCACATCAGCACACGTGTGTAGTAAAAATCAGACGTGTGGGCGCTGCTCGAGGAGCCAAGTCGAGTCCTGCCTCCATGTACTTTGATTGCTTGCACGTTACCCGTACAATTTTCGGTATGATGGCGGCAACATTTCATGATTTCTTGTACGTGTTTCTGCCCGAGAGCACGCGTCCTTTTCCCAACTCCTCCGTCCCACGTCTCCGTCCCAAGATCCATTCCGGCTCATGGGTTCCGGAGTAATGTATGCAAGCACTTTTTGTATATGACGCCGTTGCGCTTTGGGCCGCCGGCGTGTTTGTTTGCCCGGTGACTGATGATGGTTTGGCTGGCTTGGTTGGCTTGGCTGGTTTTGCTCAGCTTCCACCGCCGTTTCGACTGCCGGTTCTCAGCGAATCGAGAGTTTGTCCTGCTAATAAATCAATGACGCCATTCCGGGACTCCAAAGTAGGCGATGATTTATGCCTGGCTAAAGGGTTTCCCGGGCTCTCGGCTTCCCGGCCTAATTGAGTTGCCCTTGATGAATCAGTCATTTCTAAAGTGTCACTACTTCAGTCACAAGTTTAGTCCCAACTAGAACGGTTCGAAAATTCTTCGTTGCGTTGATTTTGGCACGACATTCTTTTGTAGTACTTGTAATACTTTTTTGAAAATCGTTTGTAAGTTTGGTATCGATAATATGGAGGTAATTGTGCCGCCAGAGAACTCTCATTGGTCCTTGAGATTTGTGGACGTTTGGAAGCCCTTTCCGGAGCGGATTGTGGCCAACGCCACCTACAAGGTGCTCCGCTTTTTCTATCCTCCCTTCGCTATGGAAGCGGTAGACGTCACCCACGTCGTCAGCGATCCAGAGCTGGACTGTTTAAACGTGGGTCTCTACCTGGTCTTCCCCTTCCTGCTGGCCTGCCTCTGCTTTAATGCCTACAGGGTTGTCAAGAAGCCGCGAAAAGTGGTAGTTCACATCTGCAGTTTTGGTGCTAAGACCTCCGAATCACGAAGCATTGAAACATTCTTCCACAGGTTAAACAACCGCCAGTTCGACTAACCGAGCTGGAGCAGCGCATGTACGCCAAGTACGGCTCGGAATACAAGCTGGGGATTTGGAGGAGAAAGGATATATCCGATCCCCTTCTCAAAAAAAGCATATCAGACATACAGAAAATGTTACCAGAGGCCTTTGAGGGGAACCACTGCCTCCGAGAATCCGCCGAGGATATTGTCAAGGGAAACGTGACCTTCAACGAGGAGGTTAAGTGCCGGCTCTTCGAAAAGAGTTCTCAGTTGAATATCGTTGCAGATAAGCTGGTAGATATGGTTGGGCAAATCAACACTACGGTCAAAGAGCGTTCCGGAGAAGACAAAACCCCTGACTTAGGCAAGTCGAAACCTCCTTCCTTTCCAGTCAATCGAGCCTGAAAAAGCTCCTGCGTATCTGCTTAAACCGAAAAATCGATTTAAGATCTTTCCATTTCGTTTAATGATTCGGCCTTTTTTCCGACTCGAAAAGTGTCAGCTTTCGGCTTTTCCTGTTGGTGCAATAAAATGAAGTGATTTCCCGTTTTTATATTTGGCGCAAACACACATTGGATCCCGCAGAGTGGAAGTGGAGACAGTGCACATGGGATTAGGTCGGGGTTTCGGGACGAGGACGAGGATGAGGATGAGGACTTGGGCAATCATTTGGCAGCGCATGTGTCGGATTATTTTGTTGGCTTGCGTTTTATTTAAATTCGCTTCTTTGCGCTGTCTTTTTGTTCCGGCGGTGGTTGTTTGTCTCCCGAAATCTGACAGCAGCTGAAAAGCATGCTAAGCTTTTCCCGCGCTCTTTCGGTTTGGCTGAAAACAAATTAATGATTTGCCATCAAGCAAATAAATCAAAAGCTTCAAAGCAGATCTCCGGCTTAGTTCGGTGGAGTGGGACTCTGTGGCTGGCTGGCTGCGATTTAAGGCCTTTCAGCTGGCTGTGCTCCACTTTAAAACGAGCACCGCTCGATTCATAGTTTTATTTTGCAGCCATTTCCACTCAACTAAGCGCATGCATTGATGATGTATCCTCGACCGTTTGACACCCCTTCCCATTGACACGACATAAATAACCGTGTGAGGCTGTTATAATTTATAATCCTTGCTGTGGGCGTCCTGGCAACAACAACAACAGCAGCAGCAATAACAACAACAAGAGGAACAGGAATAACAAGAGCAGAAATAACATTGGAATGCCACGGGGAGTGCAAATATTTTTGCTTGCTCTTCTCTTTCCCTATGATCCGGGCTTCCTCGTTCTTTTTTGCCGTATTTTATTTATTCGAAACCTGCCCAGGCGGAATCTCTCCGGCTCAGTCAGCCTCACCAGGTTGGCAGCACAAATATTTTGTTGGTTCCCCTTCTACACAGCCCTACTCCTCCCACTCCCACTGCCACGCCCCGTTCAGGACAGCCTCCCGCCTGCACTTAGTTTATGTTTGTGTGTGTTACTTTTCCCGGTAAAATGAGGTCAAAAGTTTATTGGCTAACAAATGTGTGCGAAAGTAGGTGGGTGTTGTTTTCGCAGGCATTAATGTCAGACGCAAACGGGGCTGCAGAGTTTCTGGCAGAGCTTTAATGCCAGTAAACAAATTGCATGCACTTAGCTACAGGCCGCCCACCGAGGAGGCCAAGATTAGGCCAATCGAAATGGCTTTTAAATGATCCTGCAGCACTCTCGATGGCCGATGGCCGATGGCCGACCACAAAAACAAATCAGCTTCAATGGCTGCTCCCACTGCCGGCTAATTACAAACCAATCAGCCAACTAATGAAATTCAAATAAATTATGGAAAAACGAGATAATGTTTTACAGGCGAACGAAAAAACTAAGCCAACAAAACCAAAGCTGCCAAACGCACTATAACATGTTAAGCTTTTTAAATTATTGTTTTAATAGAACAGCAGAGAAAAATATTTTAATTATGTACAGCACGGGGAATTTCCTAACCCCGACTTGTTTTGGGAAATGCACATGGGTCTGGGAAATCGTTGGATTTGCGACTGAACATCAATCGAAGTGATTTAACTTGGAGCGAACTAAGGCTTGTTCCGATCAACCGGAGGCGAACTTATCCTCCCCGGATGGCCTGAGTTTATTCGCCATAAAAGCATTTGGTTCAATGTTTAATGAGGGCGGACTGAATAATGGAGCCGGCCTACCTTTGTGTTAACCACATCCCCTCTGGGAAAACAACCCCTTCCCGGGACAAACTGGCAACGCAATGATTATGACAGCTCCTTGCCGACTCTGCTCCTGTCACTACGCAAGGACTCGACTGTAGTTCGACTGCCTGGGCTTTAATTAAACGGCAATTGTGGTCATCAGTTGTCAGGTTCTCTTGTGCCTAATCAGTTTGTGTGATGAAAGACTAAGCTGGGATTACGGAATGTCTGCCATGCGGGTGCGACATTTGAATAATGAATGTCAACTCGATGCTCGTCTTGCAGGAAAAATATAAGCTCGGCCTAAGTCCCAAATGTCACTCAGCTGTCAATTGTGAGCAAATCTGAGGCGCAGAGATTCGAGGCCAACTAATTGGGGCGTGGCCATTCTGGCCAGCTGACAAACTAACTGACCGGCTAACTGACGTAACCAGGCAAAGCAATTGCTCGTCTGTCCGTTCCTCTATTTGTCTGTTTGTCCGTTTGTCCGTTTGTCCATTTGTCGGACTGTCAGTTTGCTTGTCCCTTCTGTGTGCCTGCTGCTTGGCCATAAACTAATGCACCTAATTGCTGTGATTATGTCGTTTGTGATTATCTGAGTGTGCCCCTGTGTCCTTGGGAGAGTCCTGTTTTGCCTCCCTGCACACGTTGCATACAATTAGGAGCCGCAAAAGCTGAGTCTCGTTTATCAATCACGTGTTCCCTGCCTTTCGGCGCGACAATATTCGATAATTGGCCAAAGCCATCACTGGTAATCCATTGATGATCCCGGGAGGCTCAGAATTCCGATGCTGATTGGGTTAGCAAATAACCGCAGTTACCCCACCGCTCGTAACCCATCATTCCGACTCTCAAAACTTTGACTACCCCTTTCGCTGGCCTGATTCATCTTGGGGTTGTTGCAAACTTTTTGCTGACAAGTGTGACAAGTTTTAAGGCCCATAACTAAGGCGGCAAGCAGCCACCCCGAGCTCACCTTGGCCAACGACTCCGGGAGCGAAGCCCCCGACCAGGAGCTGTGGTTTCCTGCCACCAGCCTAGGCCATTACACATGTAGAAGGTAGGGCAATAATAGTAAATTTAAACCCACCCAACTGGGTGGGGCGGAAGGGCAAAAGAGGGAGAGCCTCACATGACTAGCTAAACTTTCTGCCATTGTAATAGTTCTGCTTGGCTGGTTTCTCTTTCTTTCGATACAGAAACCGAACCGAAGCGAACCGAATCCCGCAAACCGAAGGATCCTTGGGGGTGGCTGCTCCACATGCTCCTGGGTTCTCCGCTCCTGGCTCGGTTTCTTGGGCTTCTCGGGTTTCTCTAGTTATGCGCATAATTTATAGAGTGCGACAATATGTTGCCCTCTGTCTGGCTCGCAGGAAACTTTTGCGTTCCCATTCGAGAAAGAAAGATTTCTCTGACCGATACAGCTGCCAACTCGGAGTGTGTGCTGTGTGCGGTCCACTTTTGGGGGTCAAAGGGCAGGCAGAAGTCAAGGCTATTACCATAAGGGTATCCCGAAGACGTCGCACCACGCTCCACTCTCGCTGAGGCCTCTCTTCACTTCAACTCGCCCTCAGATTGCGAATTCGCATTGAAGTCAGCTCCCTGTGGAACCCGGGGAAATAAAACTCCGACATAACAGTTGCCCCACATGAGGCGCACTCCCTTTTTTCCACCAACGTTTAGGGCGATAAAAATGCAGAAACAAAAACATTTGGTTAGTTGCATAAATTTCGTTATATTTGTTGCTGCCGCCGGTCCGCTGATAAAACAGCGTCAAAAAAGTGTCGTCGAGGGAGCAACTTAGTAAAACTGCGCAGAGCAAAAAGAAGTGGAGAAGTGGGGAAGTGGGGAAGGGGAGTGCGGGGTAGAAGGAGATGAAGCCAGATAGGAAAACGAGTTTGTTGCGTTGCCTAAACAAGCTGCGGGGCAGGAACAACAGCAACAGCAATAGCAACATCAGCAACAACGGGGCCGCAGGAACGGCAAAACAAACGAAAAAGTTTTAAATACACATTTACGGAGAGCCAAGTTGTGCCCGTTTGCTCCGCATTAAAATTTAAATATTTGTTGCCTTGGCATACTTTCGGCTTTTGGCCGCCCAGTTACCCCAAACGGTTGAAGAACCAACCGGAGTTCAATGGCCTCCCCAAGACGATGTGGCAGGAGGGTTCTTCATAAGTTGCTCGCATGCCTCTTAATCCTGCCGCAAATCCCCCGCCGCAAAATTACCCACACATGCCACCCCCGCTCGTGTGTCTATTTACAAGTTGTGTCCCACGTAAAGGTAAATAAAGTTGCAACAAGCGCTGCTGCTGCTGCTGCTGCAGCCCGTCCGCTCGCTCGTTGCATGCCACCGAGTGACGTGCCCGCCCTTCTCCGCTCAAAGCGCGCTGGTGGTTTGCCGTACAAATCCCAAAACCATTTCACTAATTGAAATGAATTTTCATACACCAGAAAGAGGAGCAGCGGCAACGGCAGCGGCAGCAGGATGTGGGGCAACTTGGGCCCCACTCGCATTTGTGTGGCAGACACTTTCGTGTCGCAGCACAAAATTGCAATGACCTCGGGCAACAACAAGAGCGTTGCAACCGAATATGGGAAATGTGCGGCAGAAGCAAGCGGAGCGGCAGCCGAGATGCATGCCACGTCACAAGATCCTTCCAAGTTCCACACAGTTGAATGACTTATCATCCGGGGGAAGCGGAAGCCATAAGACCCAAACCTCCCAGGCAAAGCTGTCGAATGAAATATGAATTCGGAATAGTCCTGGCTATATATAATTTATCAAAGTTCTCCTTTTTGTGCTGCCGACGCTCACTCGCCTTCTAAAATTATTCCAATTAAATATTCATATGGAGTAATTTTGCTGCTGCTGGGATTTAAATTCGGATTGGAGCGAGATGCGGGGCAGCGGAGGAGCGAAGGAGTGGAGAAAGGCATCCGATCCCCAAAAGGATTGAACCACTCGACGCGTCTCAAGATGCTGGCGGAGAAAGTGAGTGGGCAGAAGCGGCGATGGAGAAAACGCAGCGTCTTTTTATTTAAATAATTATGCAATATCCCTGTCCTGAGGAATTTTCAAGTTCATAATTATGCGATGGCTGGCTGCATTTCCCCAGCGGGGGAATCCGCCCACCAACCACTTCCTCCTGCATTTTTAATTTATTTTGAATAAGCAGAAAAGGCACAAAAGACGTTGCCCAGACACTGTCGGCATTTCCCCCAGCGGAAGTCACTCCGCACAGCTGCTGCTGCTGCTGCTTCTACTGCTCCTTGTTTACATTCTGTGCGGCTGGCCAGGCGCTTCTTGCGGCTCCACTGCGTATACGTAATGCCGAGTAATGTGCTCCGTTTGCTGCTATTGAAAGGCGTCGAGCGTGGCATGTAAATGCAAAATGGCGACAAAGCGGGCCTGCAGGGAGCCCGCTCTCCACTCGGAGTGTGCGATGCTATTCTAAGCCATTTGCTCGGCATTTTTGTTTTGTGCAGCCGGGTAACATTATTTTAATTAACATATTTACAAGAGTCGGGGATAAGCGGCAACAAAAGCCGAGTCACTCTCCACATACGGCTCGGCTCGTGTGCACTGCAATTTTAATTATAGCCATAGATGCCGCAGCGGCAAATCTTGTGGCACGAGCGATGTTGAATGCAGCGTTGTTGCCAGCTGAAAATCATTAAAAATTGTTTGCGAAGGGCGAAATCATTAAAAACATATAAATTATGCAGGCACCCCCGCCTCGCACATGCCTCATAATTATGCAGCATACTCGTATAAATGCCACCAGCAAGGACAGCTGCGAAGGATGCCGGGATACTGGGATGCCGGGATGCCGGGATACTGCCGAGGATGGAGGCAAACATTGTTTTGTTAATGTTCTGCATGACTTCGCTGCATGTTTTCGGGGGAGGCGAAGACGAAAGGATTCAAAGGAAATCGGGAGCGGGCCGAGCAATTTCGTATGCGCACCTGAAAGTATTCTTTAAGAAATTCGGAACCCAGACGGTGAACTTATCCCTGCGCCTAATTAAGTCGACCGAGGAGTTCGCCCACATTTTTGGCTGCGTCTCGAGTGGCCGGGTATTTCAGGTATTTACGGCAAAGGCGGAAGAACTCCAGAAGAAGGCCCCATTCGGGTTGTTCGGTTCAATCGCACTCAATATCAATAAATCCCGCAACAATCTGCATTCAAAAATCAAAGGATACACACATGCGGAGCGGGACTAGGGGGACAGGCCAGACAGGCGAACATAAAATGCCAATTTCTAGTTGCCAAATGGTTATTGCCTGGTCTATAAATGCAGCAACAGCCACAGCAACACGGCAGGAGCAACAACAACTGGACTGAAATCCACGTACGAGGACCGAAGTGGCCACGGCTCCTACCTCCTACCTCCAGCCAAAGTCAAACCAAACCAGAGCTAAAGCCGAAGCCATGGCTATATGGCTATGTGGCTATATGGCTATCCAAATGCATGTATGCTGATATATGAACACTCACACTTGCTCTCTTGCCACATATGTATATGTGAATGTATATGTCTGGCAAGTTAAGTGCCAAGCGGAACACGAAGGCAATTTGTTGCGTCACAAAAAACGGCAGCCGAATCGTAGATCGAATGGATATGGAGTATACGGGATATGGGATATGGGATGTGGGCATGGTTCCGCCTCCATTAGCGCCACCTGCCTTCCTCCGCTGCAGATAAAATTAAAATTGTGCGTGAAAAGTGCAGGATAAAGGATACGCCACATATCCATTCAACGGGTGCCAGGCGAAGGCGCTCCGTACTTAGCAGGCATAAAATATAAATTACTACGCTGCGCCATAATAAATTTCAGTTTGTGTAAAAACGTTAAATTTATATACACTATACAGGGTTCAGGGTGCTGGGTTGTGGGTTGTGGGAAGGGGTGCCTGCCACACCGAAATGGGGCAAAAACCCATTATGAATGAATTTAGTAGCAGCAGCAGCAAAAACCAAAACGTGCCGGCTCTCCCTCTATCCGTATCTCCTGCTCCCCTTCCCCCTCGCTCCCCTCCTATTTATACAAATTTAAAGCACTTTCTGGGGATCCCCGAAACCATCCGAGGAGCGGAGGCGGAGGCGGAGGTCAGTTGAGGTTTCGGAAAAATGCCGGCAAATTTACGACTATTTCCATGGCTGGCAGCAGCGATAAACCAGAACCAGAACCAGTCGAAAGCAATAACGACCGGCCAATAGACAGTGGACTAGACTCTCGACTTTGGACTCCCGACTCCCGACTCTCGAGCTCCGAGACTCGACTCGACTCGCCTCAACTCGCCTCAACTGGACTCTGCAGAGTTGGCTGAAGGACACACGAGTGGGCGGCAGACAGGACAGACGCCGGGGGCGTGGCAGGCCTTAGTCTAGGCGCTTGAACTAGGCACTTCGAGCGGCCTTCTGGGAGAGTGGAAGCGAGCGGTCAATGACAGCGGAAAGTTTTTCTGCAAACTAACCTCGAAAGCGATGAAAAACTAAAGCAACAGGAGGGGAAGGTGCCAGGTGAGTGGGGAGTGGGCAGTGGGGATTGGGGAGCGGTTAGAGGGACAGACTGCCGCATCAAAATGCCGCAATGGCCGCATTGGCCTGTTATTATAATGAAAACGTAGCTGGCAATGGTGGAAACCTCACCGGAGAAGATGTGGGACTGGAAAGTTTAAAGGACAGCGGAAGCCAGTTACATTTGCACGGGCAATGCTCAGTCGTCCTTTTCAAGTGCGATTGTAGCCGGAGTGAATAGGTCCCCTCGCGGGTCATTAACAATTTAAGGTGCAAAGTACGGCCCAATCGGGTCGCGAATCTGACCAGCGTTTTATCAACTCTTTAAGGACAACAGGATGGGGAAGGGAATCGGGAATCGGGATCGGAATCGGGAGCAGCTGCCACTGGATGTGCAACTGAATCACAGCAGAGCACACTCTGCTCTTCCTCCCGTTCCCCTTCAATATGTGGACTTTTGTTTTGGAGGCTGCCCCTCCGAATGCTCGTTTTTTACGCGTCAGCTCTGGCAATTTATGCAATTTTTCTGCTGCGATGTACACATATATTTTTAACTCCTGGCAAACTTTTGTTTCGCTCCCCGATGGCCGGCGAGTGTCCGCTTTTGCATGCGTGTGTATCCAATCGTGCAGAATGCCCATTTTTATATGTATTTGCATATGGTGCATAAGCATTTTTTCATGCCGCCAACAGAGAAGCCCACGCAGAAGTTTAAAGCTTTATTACGGGAAAAGTTTTCCCGGAAAATATCGTAGGCCGCCGTCCCACCCGCCGCTCTTCCCTCTGCCTGCCTGCCTGCCTTCCTGATTCATTCATTCATTTGCAAGTTCGGCCGTCCTCGTTTTTCGGGTGCCAGAAGTCAACAAATAATATTTTCAATAAAAATTGGCACTGGTGGAGAAGTCGAAATGAAAATATCCTCAGCTCTTGGGCCCACAGAGGAGACGGAGATGGAAATGGAGTTGGAGTTGGAGGTTGGAAGAGGAAGTCCTGTGAAGGGCCGCTGCCAAATGTCATGTGCCTGTGTGAGCGTTTATGTTTATTCATACGTGTGCATGTGTGTGCCGGGCAACCTGAATCTCAATTTGATATAGAATTTAATCAATATTTGTGTTACGATGACAACGGACCCCGCTGGGCATCCCCCCCTGCTGCATACTTTGCGGACGGCAGGTTAGAATGTTTATCAATTTATGCACAAATGCAAATAGAATTTCATAAATAGTCATTTAATTGCACTTTCGCCCAGAGGAAGAGGGACGGCGGGGGTCGGCCCATAAACGATATGCAAAATGCAAATTGGCGGACAGAAAGAACACTTAGGCAGTGTCATGTGCAAAATCCATCTGCCGAATTGATGAGCCGGGGAATGTGTGCAACTGCCAGTTAAAGTGCTCTGAATTCCGTCCGAAATGCGCTCGCTTAAATTCATTCCGCAATCGGCCAGGACACGCAAGTTTTAAAAGCAGTTGCGAAAGTAAGCCAAGTCGCTCTAACAGCTCTAACACAAATGTCTTGGATAAAAAACGAGGGACGCACTCAGAGGCGGGGGAAATTATATGGCACGCAGCAAAATCAAGACAAAGCCTGGCATACATACGATAGCCGAGTGAGAGCGTGTATATTTGCACAATGCAGAAGGAAAACAAAAGCCAGCTGAAAGCAAATACAGAGCCGGTCCGAAAGTGTGCTACACAAATGTATGGTACTATATACGCACGAGACTGGATGGCCAAAAGAAGTGGGCGGCAGCAGGGTCCTTTGTTTATTTCCTTTCGTTACAACTCGCACTTTGTTGATGTTTCAGGGCGAGCGAACAAATGTATGCAGCTCACAGGCCGGCGGAATGCATCCATCTGAGCGATCCGCTCTTGGAGCAAAGGAAAGTCCGTTGATAAGGCCTCATTCAATTAATAGACCCATAAATGCCCGATGCCCTCTGCCCTCTGCCGCGACCTCGGACCGCTTTACAGCCTTATATCTTCCGACGGCCATTCGCCGCCATGTGTGAGCCGCAGTTGTTTGTCAGTTTTTCCGGGCTTCTATTTAGGCCCCTGCGGTCGTTTGGCTTTTTTCGGTTTGCTGGGCGCCGCCGCCATCGCTGCTGCCAACTATTTTCACTCCACTTTCGAATGTTTTTATCCCCAAAGCCCGCTTGCGGATATGCATAGAGCGAAAACACAAACAAAACCAACTCTAACCGAACCGAACCGTACTGAGCTGAACTGAACAGTTCTCAACTGAACTGAACTGGGGCCGGCAGAAAAAAGGCCAAGAACATTGTTGGAAAAACAATAAATGGCAAATATATGGCGGCATTTTAGGCGCACGGCGCATGGGAAACAAAAGAGCTGAGAATTTGCAAAATGCTGCGGCCTTTTCCCTTCCGCCGCGCCGGTTCGATTTTTTGTGTTTTGCATTTTTATAGCAATATGGCAAATGGAATTTTTGTGCACGATGCGAGCGCTAAACATTTAAATGAGTCAAGTGGCTTTTTGATGGTCGCCGCGGAGCGGGTTGGATTTGCATATGGCTGGAAAAATTGCTTTGCGGAGGCTTTTAGACAGTTCTGGGAAGGCGGGGGGCGTGGCCGAGCGGCACACTTTTCAAATGGGATTAGCATGTAGATAGTAGACGGGAGATGGCGATCTATTGGGGAATTCGGAAAATATACTCACTTATATTTCCACTGGGAATGTAAACGTTGCCCGATGGCGTTCGCACCAAACAGGATGGCTCAAAGTCACCGTCATTGAGATTGTTACCGGGTAAACGACCATTTTGCATGCGACTCATTGTCGGATTACGCGGCGGGACATCCGGGGGTGCCGTTGGAGTGACTCCTTCCAGGAGGAAGCCTGAAAATAGGTTGCAAAAATACGGTAGCGTTAGTCGGGCGAGCCACAAATATTTGTACACCAAGTGCCAAGTGCCTAAATCGAGAACCTATTTCTGGCTTAATTGCATTTCGGAGGCGGTGCTTCCTGGAAAAACATCCAGTGATAAATCACCGCCCCCTAGTTTTGCATTCACTGTGTGAATGGCGAAATCATTGCGCATTTGACACTAAAAGTATTTCGTGAATTTTTAAACTACAAATGGATTTAGTGGAGCCGTGACGGAGAGCGGGAGTAAGCTGCAATCAGTTCGCATTGAAAGGCACAAAAATCAGGCGAAAGGAACAAAATCGAAATGAAATTATTTAACAGCATAGAAAATTCAATTTGTCTCCCTCTGCAGTCCCTCTGCTTTTTGGGGGGCATGGTTAAACAAACAAGCCCGAATACAAATGCGATGGGGGATACAGATACAGAAACTGTAAAAACTGAAAATTACCAGGCAAAAGGCAATTTCCAAATCGAGTAACAAGATATAAATAAAAATAAGGGAAAAACATTCAAATGAAATTCAATTTGCTGCGCTCAAAAATTTCAATGCCGATGCGAAGGCGACGATGGAAATCGAGTGCCGAAATGCCTTTGATACTCACCCACACACAGTCGCACAGAGGGTGTCGGTGTGTGTGTGTGAGCCCCAGCCCCCCCAAGTCCTCTTCACTTCTTGCGCTGTAATAAATTTCAAAAGCATTCGCATTCACTCGCATAGAAAATTTTAAGCTCATTTGTAGGCTTAAAAAGCATTTCGGGGCGGGCGATGGGCGGAGAGTGCGGGAGGATTGGAGGACAGGAGGGGCGGACAGGATACTCCACAAATTCAAACGCCAAAAGCGAAAGAGGACAGAGCAGCGGAAAAAATGCCTAATAAAAGGCGGCAGCAAACGGAAGCGCCAACGGCCAAGGAAGAAAATTTCAAATTTGTTGAGATTTGCCGGGCGCGAAAATCGTATCCGTCCCCTTGTCCCCCATTGTCCCGTAGGCCCCCTCCCCCTCCCCCTCCTACCACGATATCCTCCTAATCCGCCCTCCAAGGACCCGGTGTGCGTGTGTGAGCTGCCGCTGGCTTAGTTAGTTAGTCCTGGCGGCTCCTTGCACAGCCTCCTTTGCCGTAATCGCATTGCGCTAGGCCGAGACAGTTCCCGTTTTCCCGTTTTCCCCCGTTTTTCCCCACTTTTCCCAGCTTTGTTTCCTTTTTGCGCCTCCTTTAAGCTGGACTAGAGGGCCTGGGGAATCTGTGCGCACAAGTGGCCACCGGCCTGGCTGTGGGAAATTTAAGCTGCGGAAAATATGACACCAACTTGTCTGCCCCGACGAGATGCTCGGCCTGCTGCCAGGATTGCCGCGGGGCCTGCGCATTATCGTTATAATGAAACGCGCCTCGCTCTCCCCCGAAAAAGGCGGGGGCAAGAAAAACAAAGGCGGGGAGGCGGAGGGTGGCAGGCGGCGGGATTTGGCGCCGACTGCCTGCCAGCAAAGATTATTTCACGCGGTTAAACACAGCGGCAAAAGCAGCCGAAGCACCCAGAAGTGGTTCCAAAAATGTTCCCTCGAAATTGGCAGCGGGAAAGTTGCTCTGCCGGTCATCTGTGATTAAAATTGGGCGGAGAATATTTGTGGACTTTTGTCTTTGCCTTGCGTGTAATTAGATTTCGGATTTAAGGCGCTTACAGTTGGAGCGCAGAAAATGGAAATTGAAAATGGCCGGAACCGGGTACCCGGTGCGTATGAGTGACGTGCTCCTGACGTGATTTTTCCTTTGCCCCTGCCAAGAACTCATCATTAGCCGAGGATGTACTTCTCGACGCCGCTTTGCCCTCCAATTATATCGTCATCAAGCGCAGAAGTTAAGCTAAAGTAGCTAACCAAGCCCCATTTGCAAGCACAAGCGATGGCGTCATTTAAACACACATAAGATACAAGGGGGCTGTGAGCAGAGGAGGAGGAGGAGGAGGTGGAGGGGGATTGTGGCGTGCGGCATGCATTAGTTTAATATTAAGCGAGAGCATAGCAAAAATGTCAATTCTGAAGGGTATATATTTCGAGCATGTTGGCACTTCCGATTTGGGGGGTTGCTCATCAAAAGAAACAACTTTTCCAAGGCTGTTTAAATTGGTTGCTACCTTTGAGAAAGTATTAATCGACTCTTCCAACATCAGAAGATCAAACTATCTGTTATTGCTGTCTTGACTTCCTTCATCAGGAACTAATCTACGAAGAGGTTTACCTTCTCAGTTTATAACGCACAATTTTTAACAGTGTGCTGGCATACTATTGCCCTACTGCTGGGTATCTTCTGGTCGTCCCATTTGGCCCGGCCAAGTCAAGGGCTTAGCCAAATGGCAAAAAGAAGACAACAACGATGACAATGGCCACGTTGGGGGCCAACGAAAGTGGCTAACAGAGAGAGGATTCTGCACTGGTCGTGGCTGCTGTCGCCTGTTTGCCTGCCAGTTGGCATCCACATCCACATCCGCATCCACATCCACATCCGCATCCGCACAGCCGTCCGCATCCCCATCCGCATTATATCCACATGCAGACAGGCGTAGAGGAGCTGCCATGAACCAGGAGCCAATGCGAATGCCAAGCGACCACTTAAAGCGCAGTCGGAGGCAAGAAGAAGGAGAAGATGTGGCGGGATTGCAGGATGGGGTGGCATGGAATGGAATAGAGTGGGAGTGGGAGTGGGATAGAGCGGAGGCTGTGGAGGCTGTCGAGTGAACAACGGGCCACTACTGGGAATGGCGCTGATAAGCAGCTTATCTTCATTTCTACAACCCCCAGCGTTTATTTTTCCCCTCCGCTGTTTGTTTGTTTGTGTTGCTCCTCTGCCGGCGCTTCTGTTGCCGTTGTCATTTTGAATGCGAATGCGTTGTAGTTGTAGCTTTGGCTGTTGTAGTTGCTCTTGCTCCTGCTCCTGCTCCTGCTCCTGCTGCTGCTACTGCTGTTTTCGGGGTACGCAAAATGTGTAATGGCATTTCGTCAGACGGAGCATGAAAAAGCGAGGCGGGCTTTACCGATGGCCAAGGGCGGGGGTGGAAAGCGGGCGTTGGAGGCCAAATGTTCCCCCAGTGAGTATGTGACAAAGCGAATTCTCCTGCTGGGCTTGCTTTGTCTCCGTCTTCATCCCTCTTTTCGGTTATGCTTTTTTTCGCTTGCATTTTAATGCTTTTATAATGCACTCAGCGGGAAAAAAGCCAGCCACAAACCGAAATGGGAAATCAGCGAAAACGGCAGAAGTATTTCAGAGGTTCCCCGTTAAATTGAGGAACATTTGAGACTATCTTCAATTAGGGAAACGAAACAATCGGCCGGAATGAAAACCTCCGAGCGGCACGTGTACGTATATGCGCCGCCGAGGGAAATATGTTAATTAAATCAGAAGCTGGCTGGCGGAGTGCGGGCCATCGAAAGGCGACACCAGCTGCTTGTGGCATGCCGACAATGGGCAGTGGGGCACTAAAGGCAGTGGGGCAGCGGGGGGCATGCCAACACCTTCGGCGGCAGCAAATTCTTCTCCTCTGCTCCACTCCGGCTCCCTTGACGAGAGAGAAATGTAAAACACTTTCGGTATGACAGCTGAAATGTCAGTTAAGCATGAATTGCTGCCAGCAGAGGGAAGAAGGCAAGAAGGGAAGAAGGCGAGAAGGTGAAGTTGAAGCTGAGGCTGAAGCTGGAGTAATGAAAACGAGGCGAAGGTCCTGAGAAGGTCCTTTCTACGGTCCCAGGTGGGCGGGCTTAACTGACAACTGCTGAGGCGCTCCTTAACTACAGTTTCGTTCTGCAATTGTCCTGCTGCCCTTTTTGCCGGGGTTAAGTGAGTGAGAAGCGAAAGATAAAGACGCCAAGCGGGAAATTGCATTGCAGACGGGCCCCGGAAGAGGTGATGACAATCGCTTAATCGATGGAGAGTCCTGTTTTCTAGCTCATTACGTTGCAGCATAACCCCGTGCAACATCGATAATAACAATAATCCAGAGAGACAGCTATGATGACAGGTAAAAACAGGGGGACCGCACACGATGGCGGTGCATAAACGCAGGTACATATGTGTGCCACGCTGCGTATGCGCAATGTGATGCAGGGAGAGTGCTATTTTTTGTTGTTATCCCGTTTCTGTCCATCGAAAAGGCTGCCGTTGCTGGCGTTACCGCTGCTGCTGCCATTTTGTTGATAAGCAGCAGCCACAGGCAGAAGGGCAGAGGAGCAGAAGGGCAGATGCACAGGGGAGCAAACAAAAGGCGCCTAAGCTGACAATTGGACGCTTTGTTTATGGCGTGTCTGTGTATTAGGCCCCGGGTGTGTGATTGCATCCAGTTACAGGCCGAATTTGACCTGCCCCCCCACCCCGTGACCTCCCCCTCTCCTCAGCAAAGGTAGCAGCATAATGCGGGCCATCTGTATGCGTGTACGCGTCTCTGTTTATGTTTGCACCAACACAGCCACGCAGCTTTGTATCTCGGTGCGAGTGCTTGTGTGTGTGTGTGTGTGTGTTTGCACCGCCTGCGCTTGACATATAAATAGAGGGACACACACACACAGTCGCACATAGTTTTCAAAGTTTAGTGGGGAATTCCTCGTGCTGGACTTCCTCGTTCAAGTAATTCCTTTGCATAGGTGAATGTGTACAGTTTATTAAATTTGAGTCCCAGCCCAAAGTGAAGCGAATGCTCAAGCTAAAGCTAAAGCTGAATCCGGATCCAGAGCCTGCCCAACTATTTGTGTCGCCTGTCATGTACCGCCTCCCCCACCACTCTCTCCCACACACACTTACACACACTCACTATCACACATGCAGACCTGCCCATTGTGCGTCATTTGCAAAGCCCTGCGCATCCACAATCTTTGTTTGTCAAAGTTTTGCGCTCGCCTAGGAGATTTATTTAGTCGGGCTCACAAAACTTGGATTTACTTCGACACAATTGTCAGCTTAGTCACGTTTCATGTGTCGACGGATCCTG